CCGGGAGTTAAAATCCACACATCTTAGAGTTGCCAACTTTGAGAAACACTGCAATAGAGGCTTAAGGATCACAGAAGCATGATCCTTAGGCTGGTATAACAAACCAGGTAGAAATACCAGGAGCATCTTTGATGCCCTCTGTATCATCCTGCCTTGGGAAAAACTGCTCTGGGTGGATTGAAAGGCAGAGATTTGCACAGATTTAGGGTGAGATTATCCAATCTTCTTTTAAACCAGCCATGGGCAGAGTCAGATCACCCACAGAAAAGCAGCAAAGAAGCTGCAGAACTTTTACCCTTCTGGATCCTCTGCTCACCATCCCTCTTGCATGCCTATTACACACACACACACACACACACACACCCCATGGGAAGAAAAGCCAGTCATTGACACTGAAATCTGTTCCCCACGCTGGCCAAGTTAAAGTAACCTGTTCTTTATTACACCTTAGGAAGAGTCTCAAGAGAGATGAATTTACCTAAATCCTTGAGTATTACTCAACCCCGCTCCCCGCCAACCCTGCTTATATCTGATAGCTTTCCATGCTGGCTATACTGTTCCCCTGCAAGCAGCCTAGAGCCATCTGGGCAGCAGGCTGCATGTTAATTGCCTAAATAAAATAAAAAATTAAATGCTGTGCAAGGGACTCCCCCCACCCCACCCCACCCCACCCCAGAGATCCTTCTTATTCCATCTGCTAATTTCCCATTATCCTTTCGAAAAGAACATCTTCTTGGCTTTGCAAATCTGACAGGGGTCCGGCATGGGCCCTAGCCATGTGCTGGCCACTCCCCAAACCCCGTTGACAGGGAAAAGGAGCCCAGTCTTGCTAGGAGACAAGAAGGGAGTGTTGCATTCTCACTACTGTGGCCTCATCCCTTTCTTTCTTTTGCTGTCCTTTTTTAAAAAAGTGCTTTAAAACACCTTTGCCAATGACTGTAGCGTATCTAAAGAAATTGCGTCTCTAAAGTCATGGGCTGTTGCACCTCATTCTTTCCATGTTCTTGCAAACCTCTCAATGCCCACGGCTGGGGATTTGGACGAGAGCATTGTTGGTTTACGGTGGCCCCAAATCAGAGGAAGCCTGGTGGCACCTTTTCCGCCAAACACATTTGTTGAAAAGGCAGAAGTTTTTGAAAGCTGCAGTTCACTTTTTGAAAATGCGTCTGATGAAAAGAGCGGCCGCTGACGAAACCTTATACCTTCCCACTGAATGTGTTCATCGGGAGAGGCTGGGTAAAATTCGGAAGGGGCTACCTTAGCTGAGCTCTTCTCACCTGCCGGGATGCCAAAGTCATCCACCACGGCCTCTACCAGGCCCAAGATGTAGAGTGCGCTGCCACAAATATTGGCAAAGAAGAACATGATGCCGATGCTCCCGCCAAACTCGGGGCCCAATGCCCGGCTGATCATGTCTGTGCCAAGCGGGTCAAGGAGAGACCTTGTTTGCTACCTTGAGAGACCAGGAAGCGGAGAACTGGGGCCCCTCCCCAGCCAGATCACAGTGCCAACCTTTGCTGCCCAACTGAGTGTAAAAAAATTGAGAGCGGCCTTGGGAAAAACATCAGCGCGCCATAAGGAGAGAGCCGCTAAGTGGGATTTGGAGAAGGGACAGTCCAGAGATAGAAACTCACAGTCCGTGAGAAAGAAACGCAAAATAATTCCACCTTGATTTTGTTTAGTATGAGATGGGACAGAAAGAAACTTGGACAAGCTTTCAAGAGCCTGTTAATATAACCTAAAACGGGGCTTCTAAACGTTTTTGTGCCCCAGATCCCTTCGGGAGTCTGCTGAACCTACAGACCCCTTCTAAGGAAAATGCCTCCAAATGCATAAATCAAAATACATCAATATAGATTGTATGACAAAGGAAACTGATGATAACAAAAACAGTTGTTAACAAAATATTTTATAATAGTAGACTTGGAATATGGTAATATAGTGAATGTTTATTAATCCATTCAGTCGCTAACCAGAAACCAACAAGGTTAGTGAAAATAACCTCTAACTGAAATTTAGCTTGCCTTGGTATGTTTTCCCCACCCAGGTTCACGGACCCCCTGAAAGCTATCCATGGACCCCCAAGGGGTGAAATCTATCCTTGGACTCCCAAGAACTCCTACCCTAAACAATAAACAGTCATTCCTGGCATCTCTGCAGGGTCAATTTCCTGACCTGGCCTACCTCAAAGGGCTGACCTTTCAGGAGTCCTGTGAGAAGAAGAATCTGAAAGGGGGAAAGCGTGGTTTCAAACAGGGCAAGGCAAACTTGCTATTATGCTCCCAGATCCATGAATCTAGGAAAGGACTGGGCAGTTGCACACCCCCGTCCATTCTGGACTGGTTGCTCAAGCAGAACGTTAGTGGAAGACAGTGTTTTTTTCACTCTTGGCAACTTTAAGACGTGTGGACTTCAACTCCCAGAATTCCCCAGCCA